GTAATGGCAAAATAATGTTTGAATGAGTTACCTTGATCACCGGTGAAAGTCGCATGAGGCTGGCCATTTATAATGACACCATCAGGGAAAGGAAGAGATTTTCCAGAGTCCAAGTTCTGGCGTAATGTCTGCAAGTGGCAAATAGTAAAGATTGATGGCGTAAGAAAGAATGTGAGACTAGAGCGGACACAAGCAACCACTCTCCTAAGTTTTGGTTCTCAAGAAGATAACAAAACATTTGACTCGGGGAGCTTGACAACAAGTAACAACCAATAAACCTATCAATGTTCACAAAATTTTCAACTATTCTCACAATGACTGCCAGACATCACAAGAAACAAGAAACGGAAAACTGATTCAACACTAAAATAATTCCAAGTCTTCAGTTATCTCTAGAATTAGTATCAGAGGAAGCATTAAGCAAAGACATAAAACTGTAAGTTCAAAAAAAAAAAAACCTTTGGATCCACGGGTTCAACGAAGAGCAAGGAATAGCTTTAATCAGTGTTAACATCAAACACAGGCTACCATTCTGTCATGAATGAACAATAGAAGCTTGACTAGCTGGTATTGAATCTTCACACTCTTAGCTGTTTTGCTCTAATGACGAAACTTTTCAGCCAATGGCGAATGCATCAACATGGCAACAACAATTTGCAAACATCACAGAATGAAGAGTCAACGGGGTATTCGATATGGACATAGTACAAGAGATGCTAGCCCACAATCTAATGTACTTCAAGTCATGGAAGTACATCAAGCACACTGGAAACATACACTTTTACCTATGCATTCATCTATGGAATAGGATAGAAAAATCGATGAATAACTAGAGGAACATAGTCCGCACCTTATGGCTGGTCTTGAACCAATCACCAACGAGCAAGGTAAATTCTCCATCAGGAGGTGAATAAGGGATAGGAATCTGAGGTCTATGATAGACGTTAAGTGCTCCATATCCGCCAGCGGCCTTGTGCAGGGCAGTCGAGGGGAAATATGTGTAGGAACCAATCTGGTCCTTGGGCTGAAAGTTGTATGTGTAGTTAGAGTTTGGCGGGATGGGACAATTTGTGCCCAGGACTCCGTCTTGCCATGAGTTCTTCCTCTGTTTGATCCCGTTCCTGATCGCAAAGTACCAAGCGGGTTATAATCACTAAAATCATCCCGAGTAAGACACGAAGCGGTCTAAATAACTTGGCCAAATGCAGTTTCATACAATCATTTAGTCTTTTTCTCTCTCTTATGTCTCGTAAGTGTTCGAGCAAAGCATCAAACATTTGGCAGAACTAGATGTCCTAGAAGCATAGAGACTCCACGAAAAGGAAGAATATATTAAAATGTCGTTACTTTAAAAAAACAAAATATTCAACTACTTCTGCAAATGCTGCTAGATCCATGAATTGACATGAAACTGACATTTTTAGGCCGAGGAAGTGTAAGATACAGACTAAATCAAGGATTTATAAAACAGGAAAACATATGAATAGAAAGTATATCCTGTTCGACTTTGCTATTCAAAATCAAGAACCTGAAAAAACAGAGCATCTGAAAGCGACTATTGCTGTTGGCAACAACCTCAAGCTAAAAATATTGCAGATATACTAAAGATGGATCTAACGGCGGACCTAAAAAAGGGAAAATAACAGCTTGAGCCAAAACAGCTTATGTGACTATACTAACACTCACCAAGTAAGAAGAAAAGGCTCGTCCAGCTTATTGATCAAGTTGAGCACTAAGTTGTCATTGGTGACCACATCGAGTCTTGGCCCAGGAAATTGACCATTTATCAGGATAACCTTCAAAACCCCCAAAACAATCGTCAGAAAAAGAAAAGCGGAGAACTCGAGAGTTCTTCCACCAGCTCATTGACCTCAAACACTACAAAACACAGGGACAAAGTCATGCAATCAAGAACCTGTTGGGGAACACCTAGTGGGGAGATGGTGCCGTAAGTCACAGTCCACGTGTAGAATCTATAAGGGTCGTCGGCTGTCACCAGGGACACGCTGAGGAGAGCCAAGACAGCACAGATCTGGCGCACCACCCTCACCATTGCCATTGCCACTGTACCTGCAAGAAGCACCACAATCAGCCCACAGGCCGCTCACATTCTTGAAAAAAAACAGAGAGAGTAATCAGTGCCTACCAGATTTCAGGGATGATAGTACTCGGAACAAAGTCAGAGAGTCTCTATAAAGAAGGGGGTGAGTGGGGAGCAGTGTGCCAGCTGCAGAGCCTTAAATAAGAACCGACGCGGGAAACAGAGCTTTAACTCGACATGAGGAGTGCCAATTATTAATCTGTTTTCTTTATCTTTTTCTTAAAAGCTCTGTTCTTGATTTAGTAGTAGTGCTTTCCTCTCTGTTTTGGGTTTGAACAGGGGACGAGCCCCACCACGGACACAAGCAAATGATGAATGCTGTCTGGGTGAGGGAGGTTGGAACAGGACACGATATCATTCGGCAAGGGTTCACGCGTTTCCCCCTGTTGATGATTGATGGAATTTTGCTTGACACCAAAGTTAGGTAGCCCAAAAAAGTAATATACATTCAAAGCATACGCATGCATTTGAACAAGTAATAATAATAAAAATACAAACTTTAGTGTTCTTTGTTTGGCATTATTGTTTCTTTGGATTCACAGTAAAGATTCAATGGATGATTTATATCCCACCGCCATATCCTCTCTGCTCATTAGTTTTCCTTGGAGTTGATGTCATTAAAAATTTCCAAATCGGTATTGACTATGAGGTATTTAGTCCGAATAAGTTTTCGTCTCACGAGATATTAGTAACATGCAATACATTCACTCAAAACTAATCTTCGTCTCGCAAAGAAATGTCATATGTGTATCCCGTGACTTGATTACCTCGAATAAATTTTCATCTCACAAACAAGAAAAAAACCCAAATTGGTGTCCTATTCCAAATCTACCCTCTATTAAGGTTCCGTCTAATGTTTCATCAAAAATGCATACATGTCAACACATGTGACGGACGACGACAAGTTGAATATGAGGTAGAGAATAACGGATCTGACATTGAAAATTAGCATGTGTTGGCACATATGCATTTTTGACACATGGTAGATTTGGGTCGGGATGCCTGTTTGGAAGTTTTTTGTGATATTTTAATTGGTTTGTGATATTTGTGTTATGGACGCCAGCTTGAGAATTTTTTAGATAAAAGTTAGTTTGGAATAAATATGTCGCGGAGATACACCTGTTTAAAATTTTTTGTAGAACAAAACTAAATTGGGGCAATTTTATTATGAGAGTACCAATTTATAATTTCAAGAGATATTAACCCAGTTTTATTGTTCCCCAACATTCTTTGGAACTAGTTGCCTATAAATGCTCTCTCTCTCACACTCAAGTCATAGACTTCAGAGTAACATTATAAACACCACAATGGCAAAAGTATACCATATAAGATAATAATGGTTTTTTTTTTTGTATATTGTGTTGATATTGATTAGAACCAGCTTGACACCACTTCCTCATTATTTCCTTTTTGTTTAGTCAAATGGGGTCCTCATGAGCAAACGAGAAAGTTCGTGCACTTCTTTAATCTCTTCTCTTTTTACTCCGAAATTTTCCATTTCTTTATTGCAAAAAACTCAAGTTCACGTTTTATCCACCACCAAAGCAATTTGAAAATTGAATAATTCACCGCAGTCCAGCTAGACCAATTTGCAGGACAGGTTGGCTAAAACCTTAAATTGATGACAACCTCGGACTTTCACACCCCACGACTTTCTTCTGTTTTTGTGGGTCAAAGGTCTTCTTTATTGATCGAAAGGCAAATTTTATATATATATATATATATATATATATGTTGAATTTTCCGCCAGTATTCGAAAGTCTGTTGTGACTTTAATTGTCATTTTTCTTAAAAATATTAAGCTTTTGTTGTCAATGAATGCAGTTGACCTCTGCCCACTTGTCTTTAATCCCCAACCCTCAGCTCCGGCAAGATGCCCGGCGACACATGCTCTGTTTGCGTAAAAATATGAGTAAATAAATTTGGATTTTCATTTCGTTGCACTACCCGCGTAAACTATATTCCGCGTAAGAAGGGTTTGCATGAAAAAATGTTGATAAATTTTTTTGTTTCACAAAGACCGGTTTCTGGAATATTTTTTTTTCTGGGAAGAAAAAAGGGTCAGGCGAAAATAATTTTTTAAAATTTCGAGAATGATGCATGCAATTAGTCAATTTGCCATGTTAGGGATGGGGTTACTGTGTTTTTAAAAGCATACATACATGGACCCAAAAAAGATTCTGGTCAGATTGAAGGAAGCAACATTTTCAAAAAGGAAAAGACAATAACGGTTGCCGACGTTGGACTACCGACAGACATGGGAGGAAATTGGATTAGGTATTCTGAATCTTGCATATATATATGTATGTATGTATGTATAAGTTATGTTTAATTTTCTTTGGATAGCAGAAAGGGTGTAGAATCTCTGCGCAAAACAGAGACAATTTGCTTCTTTTTTCCCTACTACTTACGGAAAATATTTGGCGCATGAAATGAAAAAATTTACTTGAAGAACTGAATTCTTAAAAACCCTGTGTAAATGTCTTTCAGTATTCCTAAAGAAAAAGATATTATTTATATTTGGCATTTACGAATGCGTTACTTATTTAACTTCACTTTGTTTGGGGGTCGTTCCTTGTAATTAAATTTGCACATGGAAAAACTTGGCGTCCACATAAAGGTGAACACCATTACATGACCGATAATGTCAGTTCGTCTCTGTATGATCCTCGATCGCATCTCTGATTGATGGATTGCAGATCGTGGGTCGAACTTAACTAAAAACAAATGTGGATGATATACATTATTGTAACCCATCAATCAGAAAATTGATTCGAAGTAAATTTCCTTCGTCGAATAAAAACGGAACTACTTCGAAAGCTGTCGATACCATCTGTATTTTAAACAGTACACATTTTGTTTTTCCTTACGATGGGAGTTTTGGCATCCCCATGGAATCACACTCACAATCATCCATAATATTGAATATGAGAAGGTATCCAAAATGAATTGAATCCCATTAAACAGAGCTGATAAAATCGCATCAACCCCATCAAAACAATACCTTGGCTCTAGTTCTTTGGCTCCTTGATCCGCCGCAGAACCAAATTAGCATCAGCAAACAGGTTGTAACCCTAATCCTTGGGTGTTAAGCTCATATGCAGAAGCAAACATCATCTGGCTCTAGCCATTATTCTTACTCTTACTAGCTAGTTAGGAGGTTGCAAAGTGAATCAGTATAGATCCCTTGGAATTACTTCATACGAATCATCGCCAATCTCCTCATAGAAAAGACACTGCTTTACTCATTTCTAGTGGATCCGATAACTAAAATAAGAACACCCCAACTTGTAGGTCTGCATCTACAAACTTAACGGTCGTTTAACAAGTATAAATCATAAGGTTATTCGTCATCCAAGTCCTAGAATTGATCAGATCACCACACAACAATGTGCTTTAACTAACCTTCATATAGTTAGCAGAGACCGCAATGCAGCATTCTTGACCTTGAAGTTCCAGCCAACAGCTGCATTTTTTTTCTTTCTTTTGTCCTCCCTTTCTTGATAACCAGGGAAAACCCACGACCACAAAGATTCGTGGGCCGAGTAGGAGCAGGCAAGTTGCCCCATCACCCCACTTCCCAGATGAGAGGTAGATACGTGCCTCAAGAGGGAAATCGAACCCTCCACCTCATGGATCGAGTTTTGGGTCTCCCAAACACTAGGGCGCACTATACCGGCACTACACCATGACTGCAAGTTAATATATTATGAAGCAAGCATGGACATTGAGCATCCTGAGATGACTTTAAGCACATTAGCTTATGTTTTCAGATAATCGGTCAGCTTTAGGGGAGCGTCAGCATTGCTCGCTCTTTCCATTGCTGAGCAGGGCTATGTGGGACAGTACGATTATTCATGAGGAAGTGACTTTCTGTAGTGGAAAGGCCCCTGGGGGCTTGGTCTGGCAGCACTTGCAGTCAAATTCCACCTTCAAGAACAATCAAGATAGGAACTTCAATTTGTATTATACAAAAATTGGTAGTATGTCAACTCATGATAAATATCAATTCTTTCCCTGCTAGGATTAACTTCGGTTCTGACTAGCACGGTGCATTATGTTAGGACACATTTAGACATCAAGACAGCCAATTTATTAATTCCACATCACAAACCATTAGCGATCATGACATTATTCATGGGTCTTCTCTAACCTTTCGCTTAATCTACTGTTACAAGAAGACAAAGCTGTCTTATTTGTAAGATAGACTTATTTGAAGTTGAAATCATTCTTTCTGCTTAAAAGCAACTTGCGTGATTCTCATTAACCACAAAATATAGAAGTTTAAAGAAATTTGCCCTTCTGAGATAAAATTTCACTCACTCAGTGACTAAAAATTTCAGTCATTGGTTAAAAATTGGCCAGCAAATTGTCCAAGTGCGCCAATCGCACAGTACATTCAGTAATTAAATCATAATTAAGTGATCCAATTGCAAACTTGCCAAAAGGTATGTACCTGTAGGTTCTAGCTTGTTTCCTTCATCAGTCTACTTCAACTGCTGGACCAGCAAGTAGAGGTCCAGAAACCAGGGTGAGGGAGTTTGAGAACTGATGTTGACGGGAGGATTTGAGTAGATAAATTTTACCTCAAAATTTCTGTTCCTAGATATGGTGATGTTGATGGGAGGAGTCGTCTTGGTTCTAACTGCGGTGCTTGTACATGTGAGGAACTTCGAAAAGCTTATAGATCAGCTCTAAGATTCTCTTTCGAATATCTAGCCACCAAAAGGCAATAACATGAAATGAATATCAACTACTAAGATGCAAGCCTTCTCAGTTGCTCCGAAGATTGTATTGTTCATATGTCAACATTGACGAGTGCTCTAACTTTGCTGTTCTGGTGGACTAGAGAAAAGCAAGATGAACTCAATCGTCGATGCATGGCCACATCTTCTTGAATAAAAAATTGCATTTGCATTATGGCTACCTGATTGATGTCACTAATCCCAGAACTTCCCTTTGGAGGATGTCTTAATAGTGTTTGGCAACCAAAAGCAACAGCCTTTCTAAATATCCAATTACCGGATAATTTGGGCGAACAAGGACACCTCGCTCAGATAGGTCATTTAAATCTCATTCCCCAGCAATCTCTGCTATCAACATTGAGACGGAATCTGTTCAACAAGAAGATTTTGAGTCTTCATGGAAGACTCCCAGGACGACGTCTTCATAAGACCCATGCAGATGCTGGGCATACTCAAACTTTTCTAATCACCAATAGTCTCCACATGAACAAATCCCATTCTCAAAGCAATGGAACCGATTCGAGTCCCGCACTATAATCTTCCTCCTCATAATCTTTGAGATGAATTTGATAGCAGTGTGGCAGTCTACACATGTTCTTAAGTTCTTATACACCTTAATGGGAGTTCCTGGCAAGGTTGAAAGAATACCATAAGCAACTGCAAGTTTCTCACTATGGAAGGCAAGATTTTGCACTTTTTGCTCTTCCTCCACATCATGTAGCACAAAATTTGTGTCAGGCACATATCCTTCTTCTTTCATCCTCTTGGAGATCTCCGTCAAAAATATATGTATCTCATTTGATTTTGGATGGGATGTATCTCCGACTAAGAAAACATGTTGCTTTCTCCCGATCTGAGTCCAGCTCAAACCAGGTTTTTTCACCACTCCTCTATCTTCCATAATCTTTCTGATTTTCGTAACCTCATCCCACATACTAGCCGTAGCATACATGTTAGCCATAGTGATGTAAGTAGCTGGATTCTCGGGCTCAATTTGAAACAATTCCTCGGATGCTCGTTTTGCCAGTTCCATGTTTCCATGAATTCTGCAGCCCCCGAGCAAGGATGCCCACAAAAATCTGTCAGGCTTCATTGGCATTGTGCTAATGATCTCTTCAGCTTCTTTAAAACGGCCTGAACGAGCTAATAAATCAACTATACAAGCATAATGATCAGGAGTATGTGTCAGTCCATGCTGTTCAGTAATTGAATGGAAATACTCGAGACCTTTATCTACCAACCCAGCATGAGCACAAGCAGAGAGAACCCCGACAAAAGTGACATGATCAGGCCGAATACCTGATTCTAACAACATGTCAAAATATTTAAGAGCTTCCCTAGGAAGACCATTCTGAGCAAATCCAACTATCAGTGACGTCCATGAAACTAAATCCGGGTGTGGCATCCCTCTAAGCACTCTCTCTGCACTCTCCATATTTCCACACTTGGAATACATGTGGACAAGGGCACTTGCTGCAAATGAAAATGGATCAAATCCACTGCGCACCATGTAACCATGGACCTGCTTACCAACCTCTTCTGCTGCATGATCAGCGCATGCGTTCAAGACCCCTGCAAATGTGAACTCGTTTGGCCTAATCTTGGAGTACATCAATTCAGAGAACATCATAAAACCCTTTTCAATCCTCCCATCACCGAAGTACCGATCAATCATTGCTGTCCATGTGACAACATCTCTATCCACCATCCTATCGAAAATGTGCCTAGCCTCCTCCACACTCCCACATTTGCCGTACATATCCGATAGAGCACTCCAAACAACCTCATCCGACTCCAACCCCAGTCTCAATATATGACCATGAATCTCTTTTCCTTTGCGTAAACACGGAATAGCCGCAGCCGCAGCAAGAGCACTGGAAAAAGTGAACTTGTTCGACATCGGAATCTCAAGCATTTGCATCATTCTAAACAGTTCGATCGCCTCTCCGGGCATGTCGTGGCGAACATAACCAGACATCATTGCCGTCCACGAAAAATTGTCTCTTTCCGGCATTTCATCGAACAATCTCCTCGCGTCCGAAAGTCGACCAGCTCTCGCATACCCGGATATCATAGTATTCCAAGAACACAGGTCCCTGTGACGCATTTCATCAAACGTCTTCTGGGCATCGACCAGGCTATCGCATTTCGTGTACACGTCGATGAGCCGGTTAGAAATGACAACCCCGGGCAAGAACCCGGCTCTGCCCATGTGGGCATGGACCATTTTGCCGGCTCCGAGGTCTCGCTGCCTGAGGCAAGACTGCAGGAGGGTCGAGTACACCAAAGCAGAGGGGCGTTCGATTTGGTCCAGCAACCGGATCGCGTCCCTCAGGCGCTTCTGACCGCACATGACGTCCATGGCTTCCTTGAACTTCTTTTCCTTGCACAGGCGATGCACGGTCCCGTCCCTGGCGTTCGGTTCGAAGAATGTCTTTTGGGCAAGCGGCTTGCGTTGCTGGGCTTGAGAGGAACAAGAGCGAGAGAAGGAGAGTCTTTCTACGAGGTGAAGCATATTCTCGAAGAACGGCGGGGCTTGGAATCGAAGATGCTCGTGCTTCGGTGGGGGCGAAAACCAAACTTCAGTACTTGAATACGGTGCTCGAACTCGTTCTTCTCATGGGGAGACGAGGGTGTCGTCAACTGCCATTAGCGAAGGAAACCGCGAAGGCAAACTCTGTAGCGCATTTTGCTTTGGGCTAATACCATATATAAAACTCTCCATTTGTACGCCTGCGATAAATTTACCCCAAATTAAAATAGTGCGCCTATCACAAATTTACCTTCAGCTACTTTCTATTAAATTTTATTGTCAAAATGTTTAGATACTCCCATTTTTGTATTTTTGACCATATTATCCTTTATGGGGCCCATCATTTCTAAGTACAACTCCACAAAAGTGATCTTTTTTATTATTTGGATATCATTTCTTTCTTTTTTCCCTTTGCGAGTCTCACTTTCCTTCTTTTCACTTCTTTCTTTTTTTAATCCAATTTAACGAAAACTAACAAAATGTAAATTTATTACAAATATAACAGTTTAGAGGATTTTTGTGATTAAAAAATTTGTTTTGAATAAAATTGTCATAGGTGTACCGGTTTGGAGTTTTTGGTAGTCAAAGTATCAGTTTGAAATTTTTCATGATATTAACCCAAGGTACAAAATTAAGTAAATTAAAGTCTAAAGGCTACAATCCCAACTTTATCACCAAACAAACATGAAATGGTTCTCTAGGAGGTTACAAGTAGAACGTAATATCCAATAGCTTCGCTAATCCAATATTGGCAAGCATATCAGCAGGCGGATTGCCTTCCCGAAAAATATGATGTTTACTCTAAATTAAAACAGTACGCCTATCACAAATTTACCCTCCGCTAGTTTCTATTAAATTTTATTGCCAAAATGTTGAGCTAAATCGGAGACATGGAAAGAAAGAAAAAAGGAAAGTGGGACCAAAGAAAAAGAAGAAGGATCGAATAATTAAAAAAAAATCACTCTTCAGAGTTATACCCTCTATTTGGTGGGCTTCACAGGGATGATATGGTCAAAATACAAAGAAAAGGATGTCTATAAAGGAGGAGTGGAAAAGCGCGACCCAAATTTTATTACCAAAATGTTGAGCTACAGTGGTAAATTTGTTACAAATATAACAGTTTGGAGGTTTTTTGTGATTAAAAAATTTATTTTAAATAAAATTGTCACAGGTGTACCAGTTTGAGATTTTTGGTTGTCAAAGTATCAGTTTGAAGTTCTTCGTGGTATTAACCCAAGGTACAAAATTAAGTAAATTAAAGTCTAAAGGCTACAATCCCAACTTTATCACTAAACAAACATGAGATAGTTCTCTTGGAGGTTGCAAGTAGAACGTAATATCCAATAGCTTCGCTAATCCAATATTGACAAGCATATCAGCAAGCCAATTGCCTTTTCGAAAAATATGATGTCTTTTGAACTAAAAATGAGAGCTCGGGAATCTTTTGATATCTTTAAGTAGTGTTGATCCATTGTTATCCACTATATTCTTTTAATCTTGGTTAATAAGTTCGGTGATAATTTTGGAGCTCAATAATGAGTTTAGGGAAATCATGCTGCTTTGCGATGGTAAGTCCCAACCATAGCGCCTATATGGCGCCTATAGTTTTGCTTGTGAAGATGAACATATTCCAAGAAACCACCAAGCTAATCACCCCCTTTGTATCGGAATAATCCTCCGACTTCTGCAAGTCCAAGATTACCTTTGGACGTATTAGGATCCCAAGCGACCATGATGGGAGAAGTACCTTGTCCACGTTTAGTCAAGTTGATCATGAGCGAAGCTGTGATTTTCATTGTGTGTGATTGGATTACTTGTACAGGGTTCGAAGGAAAAACAAAGCTTTTTTGCAAAAGTGACTTATTTCGCCGTTACCAAAAACAGTCGTGGGAGTTGCATCTCCCATTGTTAGCTAGGTTGGATTTCAAGTGTTGAGATAAATTCATTGAGAAGAACTTTTCAAGACAATTTTGTGGGACGAGGTTAACCCATATGTTTAGAATAACTGGAAAATCTCGTAAAACATGCAAAGTTGTTTCCGTTGAAGAATCACATCGCGAACAGCAAGGGTTACATCCCAGATTGCGAAACGTCATCAATTCATTAGTTAATAATTGCTTATGTACCACAAGTGAGAGGGAGGTTCTAATATGTGGAGGTTCCCTCCACTTCCGTATAAGGGGTCATGTCCAGTCAGTTTCTTCATTGTCGGTCCCTTTGATAATTTCACACGTTAACTTAACAGAGAAAGACCTATTGCTATTACCTTTCCACGATAAACTATCTTTCCCATCTGAGGCTATCTAGGGTTTGATAGCCAACTCTGTCGCGTGTTTGATTTACTGGAATACGTATTTTTCCGCTATTTGATTTGAAAAAAAGAAATTTCATGAAATCGAAGAAAATATCTATTTCATATGACATTGCAATTACTTAAGTAACATACATGGTCAGATGAAGTCAATGATATATTTAAATTTATATGTCATATGACCCTGCAATTATTTTACTAATTATACGTGGCCAAAGTAGATTAGGAAAATAAAGATGCTCAAAACTGTAAATAACGGACGAAATTTTAATTGGTGTTAATTTATGGGTTGGCGCATACAATAGAAGTAGCCATAATTTTCGTTTAATTCATAATGATGATGTACAGTTTAAATCCACGTGATACTCATTTATTATACACAGAATGGCAAGTCCTATTTGCAAAGCAATTATTAACATGAAATAACATCATTTGCACCAATGAAATTTCACTCAGCAAAAATATCTCTATTTCTCTAAAGTTAATCATAGGCTATGTGGGAATAGTTGGACCTTATGCCCATCTTTCCTTAAATTACATGGGCCCATTCCCCTTAAAATCCAGTGGGTGCTGGGCCTTGGATCATACCCTTTGAATGGCGGTATGCTCGTTTTCCTCCAACACGCAAGACCCTGTCTTCTTGAAGCAACGAATGAGACTGTTTGTCAGTTTCCGAATACTATCGATCTCCATCTTAAGGCCTGTCTGGCCTCGGAATAGCTAGCATTCTGATCCGTCTTTTAGTGACAATTGGAGAGCATACTTGTTGAACCACATCTCATCTTATAATTGTTTAAGTTTCATCCTTCGACTATCACCGGGCCTAGACGAGAATGATTTGGAAGAACGTAGCAGAGAACTCAGTAGAATTTTGGGAAATTTTTTTCTTTTCACGACCTAGGTTTTTACTCAAACATCACCTCCCTCTTGTACGGCTGAGGTTAAGAGCAATAAGGACATTTTTCAAGTCTAGCACCGCGAACAAAGCATATAATAGAATGCCAAAAAAATATCACAATATTACTAGACCGATAAAGCGTGATAAGATTCGATACATACTCAACAATACGACAAACCTTACGGTGTTAACTTTATCACAGTAGTCACGTGAACTCTAATAAATTCCCTCACATACTGATGGGTTCCTGATCTTGGTCGAAATGAGAACCTTCATCAGAGCTATGAGTCTAGTTACCACGTGCCTTCAAGATACGATTTTTCCGAAGTCCCGTGGATCTCGGGAAAAATCCATTGGTTTTGGTTGATTTCGCTTGTACTCATCAAATGTTTGGCGGGTGGCATCTCTCCTGGCGTGATATGCATGGGAATAATCCCTCTCGGCATTTCCTCTTGACAAGTAAGATGGGTCATAGGAACTTCGGAATAGGCCGATTCTTTATCTAGGATCCTTTAAAGTTCTCCACATTCTCCGCGAGTTTCTATGAAGCTCCATCTACAAGATTTGTTCAAAAGATAGTTTCCATTCCCTGTTGAAAAGATAGTTTGTATGGACGGACTTCTTGGAGCCCTGCACTTCAGTTCAGCGTGAAGTAGGTTTCTATACCAATACGGCATTGGGTTTAAAAACCACTCACGAAATCCTACCACATGCTTAAGAGAATATTTCTGAAAACCTTCAGTAAGAAAGGCAGTAAAAACCAATGGTCATGACGTAGCTGCGAAACAAATACCGATCTAAACCATTTAAATTACTCCGAAAAACTGGCGACGTCGAATGTAAAGATACGGATCGACGGCAGTCTGGCCTGATCCCGAAGAAAAAAATCCAGGATTACCTTCACGTTATCCGAAAGCAAAACGATTTGAACGTTGAAAATATCTCTTTCATCCGAAGCGCCGGCGATGCATCCAAGTGCACGCTCTTTCTTTCGAAGGCGGGGGCCCCCTTCCCGGGGCGAAACAACGGTACGGCACGTCGATACGTACATGTCTGACCGCTCTTATCTTTACACTCGTGTGGACACGTGACGGGGCATCGACGAGTAAAACCCATTAGAAACACATCCCTAGTAAATAAAAAAAAGTTGACCAAAAGAGAAAATCTGAAGAATTTTGGGGAATCGCCAAGCGAGCATCGAAAATCACGGGGCCTAAGTTTTGCACGGAAAAGTCGAAATGAATGGCGACGGAGGGGCGGGCTGTCCATTTCCAAGGGAAACGGCATCATCGTCGTCATCTTTTCCCCTCCCCTTCCTTCTTTTCTTTCCAACGTCGTCGTCCTAAAAACAACCAAATGAATTAAAAAAACAGAGAGGAGGAAAAAGGACGATGGCGAATCCTTATCTCTTCTAACAGCAGCCGCGAGATCGCACCACCACCACGAGAGACTTTGCAAGAATTTCTTCTCTTTTCCCACGGACGGAAAACATGCGCAATCGAAACCGGATGCTCTCGACACGTGTCCCTCCTTGAAGAGAGGAAAACAGGGGTGCACGATCTCTGGATCGATTCCCTGCTTTCTCGTGAAAGCTAGGGGTGAGGACGCGTAGTTTCAGATTATGTGAGTTTTGAATGACGTGGATTTCGATTCCCAGGCTTTGTAAGAAACAGGGCAAAAGTTTAAGAGTGAGCTGAGAGTTAGAGTATGATAAACTCAAAAGAAAAAAAAAAATTCTCTGCGTCGGGCTAGGGAGGGGAATCTGAAGGGGGAGGTTCTCGCCACGTGTCAGCATCGCGTTGGCCGGTGCCGAGGGGTCCCTACGGACGGACGGGCGGACGGATCGGAGGTGAAAAGCTGTGGTGGCGCTGAGGAATCTCGCATGTGAGAGGGATTCCCCCCCAATTCTAAACCAAGACTCATCCTTTTTCTCTCTCTCTCTCTCTCTCTAGCACCCCATCGCACCGATTTTATTTTTTTTTGGCTTCAAAAGTTAGATTCGGTTCTACCCCTAATTCTCCAATCGTGGGATTGTTTCTTAATGCTCTTCCACATTTCTTTCCCTCCTCTCGTGTCACGCTCGTCGCGCTGTGTACGGAGAGGCTTATGCTTTTTGCTCGATTTACTACTGGTCTCAAGCTAACCAGACTCGTGGTCGCCTCCCGATCGAGGTGGGACCCGCTCGTGCCCGATGATAGCGCGGTGGTCGGGCAGTCGCCGATTCCATCCGGTCACGAGACCACCTTTGACGGTATTTGATACGAATCTGCACAAATCGACACGGTGAAAGGGAGCAGAGAATTGGCCTAACTCGAAAGATGAAACCATTTGAAGGGTTGACCGAATGATCAATTGCCTTCGTCCGGACATGGCAAACCCGATGCCGTAAATTACATCGATTTTAACTTATGTCGACCTTGAACGCCGCGCTCGTTAATCTACGGACGGAAAAAGCAACACCAAATACGTGGAATCAAAGGTAATCAGGAATAACTATCGGGGCAGGTTTTCTCCGGCTTAAGTTGCGTTAAAAGTACCGAATGCATCTGCACCATATCACCACGTCCGAGCAAAGCATCTTCCGTCACGGAATCATGAATAGCACGTCGGAGATTATTTTTAAAAAAAAAAATCCTCGAGCACGACGCTAATTTTTTTTTTTTTTTTTGGGGAGGGCAAAAAATCGTGTTTTTCTCATTCATTCGGATAAAAGAGCATTTCAGAACGGAGCAAAAATCCCACCGTTTTCTTCGTTTCGGGAACCACTAAAGCAAATCTCGTGCAAGATCCTCGACCGGATTTCTCCCGGAGCGCGAAATGACCAGATTGCCCCCGACACGATCCCCACCGGGACAAGGGGGTGCACGTGGGGGCCACGACAGGTGTGTCCCCCCGGGAAAAAAAGGGTTTTCCCCCGGGCAAGGGCATAAATGGGAATGCGGGAACCGCGATCGCCAGCCCATCGGGTTGCTTTTCATTTTCGCCGCGTGAGAGAGAGAGTCCAGAATCTCGGAGATTCTCGCCGATCCGACCCGGGGAACTCGCTCCGAGCCGAGGCGCCGAGTCCCCCCCGCCCGAGTCGCCGAGTCCCCCGTCTTTCGCAAGCAAAATACGCGACGACCCGAGAGAGGAGGCGAGGACAGGAACATCGAATCTCCCCCGTCCCTGAATCTTTTCACCGTCTCTCTTTATAAGGAGCAGAACAAGGAGAGAGAGAGAGAGGCGCTCTCTCTGCCTTTCCTGTCCTCCTCGGGCCGTGCGCTTAGACGCATGTGGATTGAGAGCGAGCGAGAGAAGAAGAAACCGAAGAGAAAGGAAGAAGAACCGAGGAGAAGAGGGAGAGAGGGAAGTCTTGTGGGGGAGGGAGTGGAGAGAGAGAGAGTGATGGAGCTGAGCTTGGATTTGAGCTTGGCTCGGGAGCCCCGGCCGGTGTCCGAGTTCTTGAGGGAGGTGTCCGGGACCCCGGATCGAGGCGAGAGGGTGTCGAAGGTCGATGAGTACGTGGCGAGGTTGGAGGAGGAGGTGCGGAAGATAGACCCTTTTAAGCGCGAGCTCCCTCTCTGCATGCTCCTCCTGAACGACGGTGAGCTTCTCTTTCTCTCTCTCTCTCTCTCTCTCTATCTTCAGCAGTGGGTTTTCGGTGCTGCGATGGTCAAGGCGATGAATTGGCTGAATCCCGTGGGATCATTTCTTGGGAAGCTCTCTCTCTCTCTTCGATCTTTTTCTCGCCAAGAAAAAGGAAAAAATAAGGGAACTGGCGCTTTCATCGTTTCTTGGCATGACTGATTTCTTTGGGAAAAGCTGAAGTTTTTGTCTTGAGAAAAAAAATGGATTTTCTGAATGAGTTTTTGGTTTTTGGGTTAATCTCTGTAGCTATGGAAAGGTTGAAGGAGGAGCAATTGCAGTGCAAGAGATCGGAATCTATTCGACCGAAGAGGAATTCTGATAGGGATAAGAGGGTAGAAGTGGAAGACAAGGATTCTGGTGATCAGAAGAAGTGGATGAGCTCTCCTGATCAGAATCTGGTGAATAAGACCTGTTCATCACTAATTCGTGTTAAAGTCTTCCTGATTTTTTTTTTGGGCTTTTGGTTGCAAGATATGAATCCTTCTCGTGTGGAATTCAGGATCACTGTGCGGCCGAGGAGAACCCAATTGAGCCGCGTAGCTACAAGAAGAAAGGAGGGGCGTTCTTGCCGTTTGGTCTCCAGAGAGCTCCACCCAAGGAGGGCAAGGATTCGTCACCGATTTCTAGACTTACCCTTTCGACTCCGACCTCTATGTTGGCCTCTCCTGATAATGATAATCTCAAGAAGCTCGGTATCGAGGCGCCCTTCTCGAAGGACCACATGAAATTGCAGAGAAGTCCACAGCAGCAGCAGCAGCAGCAGCACGCACTTAGGAAGCAAAGGCGGTGCTGGTCACCGGAGCTCCACCGCCGGTTTGTGGAGGCGTTGGATCAGCTCGGTGGAGCGCAGGGTCAGTCACTAGAACCTGAATTGTGTCTTTCTTGGATTATTACTTCTTGGACAACCGTAAATTGTGACTAGAGATCCAAACCGTATTATTCAGATTGTGAGTGATTTCCGCCATTGTTTTTTGTCGAAATAACAGAGTTCTCACCTGAATTGGAATTTTTCGCACTTAGTTACTCTATCTGTCTTTGGACTTGAGGGAAGCTTGTCTGACAACTTGTAGTTCGATTTATTCCAAATGATTGGCCCGACCAGTCTGGTGCGATCAACACGAGCATTTGCAAAGCCCTTTAACAACATTTAGCTTTTCCCTTGTCCTACTTGTAGAATTGGAGTGATGAAAAAGAGTGGAAATGCCTATCGCTCCCTGTTCCCCTGTAGTTTCATGATTCCCCAGATTTGAATTGAGTTCATGATGATAAATGAAGTCACTTGCTCTAATTTATGCTGTCCGAGTTGATTATTGTCTGCATAGGGATTGACGAAGCCGCCTGCATTTTCCGATAGATAGCAGATGAAATCTGATGTCTCTCTTTTTTTCTGAATTGCAGTGGCTACTCCAAAGCAAATCAGGGAACTCATGCAAGTCGAAGGCCTCACTAATGATGAAGTTAAAAGCCATTTACAGGTAAATTGTCGGTCATCCATAGTGAAGTTTCTTCTCCAATTACCTCATCATTTGCTAATTCTGATCACATAACTGTTTCCAAATTCTTGTAGAAATATAGACTTCATATCAGGAGAATCCCATCACCATCTGCCGCCATGGAAAATGGCTTATCTTTATTGCAAGAACGACGTGCCGTGGACCGCTCAGAACTTAGGACCCCGGAGTCTGATGATTCTCCCCAAAGCCCTCTTCTTGCCCGTGCATCTGCTCTTGCAGTTTCTAGTGCCGGAGGGGAAAGCACGGAGATGACAGATGGAGAAGAGAACTCTGAAGGCCACAGTTGGATAACTGTGCTCGGAGAGAAACTCGCCGCCCACTAAACTCGGCAACCGAAACCGCTAACGGGATCTTAGAATGTATAAATAAAACTCAGGTGATGAGGAAGGCTAAGGATTATTTTCTTTTTCTTTTTTTACGAGGCATTTTCGGAGGGCATAAATTTCGCCGGTTTTAGTAGACAGAAAGTAGAGAAGTCTTGGATTCGATTCCTCTCTTCCCGTGTTTACGAACTCGCTCTCTGTTTGTATTAGTTTGGGGCTCCATATCTTCCCTGGATGAAGAGGTTTTCTCTGGAGCCATTGATGGATTCGCGAAGTTATGCTTAACTCTGCTGACTTTATCAAATGTGAGGGTTCTTCCATATGACTGGTGCTTCACTGATCTCAGTTGGCGGTGAGGTGCTGTCCAATGCTCCCAACGAGTTTGAGCAAGAGTGCAACCACCATTTGAGTCACTATCTTCTGCATGTTCATCAGATACTGTCGCATCAATGCTAGCTTCCATACAATGCTCTGCTGTCGGATCTGCTGGGGGGAATTCAAAGAGGAGCGGTGAAAACTCGGAAAAAAAGTATGAGAAAGAAAGCAACGCAAGACTGATCAATGATACTGTCTTAAAGACACTAATTTACCCGGACAGATTCTTAATCCAGTGCAGTTGGCTCCGATGGAAATGCTGTCCCTAGGATACAAACGTCCATGCTCAAAAGTTCCCCTTTTTGCATGTAAAGAGACTTGATCAATAGGCGAGTTAGGCTAGGCTCATCGGCCGAAAAGTGCTCGCTTAATCCCGAAATGATTTTAAAGGAAAATTAAAATCAATTTTGCCAATAAATTAACCAATATAAGTAGGTCAAGCCTGAAAAGGAAATTGCTTGTCCAGACTCGTCATATAAATGCTTTAAGTCCTGGTGGATTAGGTGAGGCTGGACGGTTCAGTGAGCTGTCAGACTATGATCAGATTTACATTTTAAGTAAGAATATAAATGCAAAAAAACTAGGGGCGGACAGTTAGCTTGCTTGATGTCGAAAATCTTTCCTTTAATGTGGATGCACGATTATAAATGCGAAGATTGAAGAGTTGTCAATCATAAATTATGTGCCAATCAAATCTACCAACTAAAACTAAGATTTTTTAGGACATGAAATTGTGGAAATCTACTTAATCAATTGAATGAATAGGTTCCCTTATATTTTTGCTAGGAAGGAGTCATTTAGCCAATAATTATGTATATGTGCTTTCCGCGTTACTTTCTTTTTAATATGTACTTGAAATTTTCCAACTTACTTTTTCCCTCTCATCTCCATTCAATAAGGTTTCCCATAGAAAAAAACTCTAAGGATGCGTTTGTTTAAGGGAAAGTGTTTTTCGGGGATTCGTTTTCCGTACTTTCACCCGTTTTGTTCGCAAAAAATGATTAGTCAACTGAAAACACTTTCCGGTCAAGGAAAACATTCATGTATAAAATTAAGAAAGTGAATTTCCTAATCTAAGAAGGCGAAAACACTTTCCGAAATTACTTCCCTTGACTTTTTTAATATTTTCTTCTTTCCTTTCTTTTCTTATTTTTATTTTAAAATAAAAAAATTAAAAAATTCGAAATTATTTTTTTGCTTGAGATAAAATCATGGGATTGAAATCATTTTCCAAATGATATCCAAACACCAGAAAAAACTTTCGATCACATATCACCAAATAAAGGAAAACTAACCATTTTCCTGGAAAATGATTTTCCGAAAAATATTTTCCAAAAACGTTACGTTTTCCGTGAAACAAACGCATCCTAAGTCCCATGTGGAATTGAAGAGAGCTTGTCGATTGATTCATAAGTGAATACCGATCCCCAAGGCCAATTGGGCATTTCTCTTTTGGTTGGTAAAAAAATAGTACCAGGACAAGACTTCTCCCAATAGACGTATGTTTCGTGGACCGACTAACTTCCAACTCCTTTTCAAGAGAAAGTACCCATATGCAATATGGCGATGACGCGTGGAGAAACAAGTCAACGAGAAAGTGAGGAAATTCAAAACTCATATGCAAAATCGGATGAGAAGGCAAATCGTGTAAGAAACGCGGTTGCACACCATATCAGCGGCGTCATCAAGTCGACCAATAAATGAAATCCTTTCCTCCTGGTTACACCCACTTTGCTCTTGATTTACATTTTCTCAGATCTTGTATGTCCACCTTTTTCATTTTCTGGCCAGAAACTTACGTGCATACTTCCAAGGAGCAGTTGGGCAGCAGATGTTTGTATTATCTTAGGCTGCGGCGAGGGCAACTTTTCCTACTAAATCCTGTTCAGCATCTGGGAAAACGATTAGTCCCACTTTATCATCTTTAGTTGGCTAGTTTACAGGTATAACCCAACGCACCAAGCAATATAGACAAAGCGGTCATTTTCAAGATGAGACAAGAGATCAGGATACGGTGACCCCACGAGAATATTGCGCTGAGGGACAATGGACGACTCAGAGTCGCTTCGCTTCTTTGCAATAATACAGCACCCCCACATGCTTTCCATCTTCATCCCGTCTCCAGCATCCTGCTGATGAAGCTCCTGCTCACTGCTTTATACATCTTTGAGTAAGTGCAGAAATTTTCCGCAGCAAGCCCCGGACAGCAACTTCAGGAATAATTTATCTGAATGCATCGTGGGTAAAAATGCTGTACTCACTTCGATAGTATAGTCAATTATGGTGGATCCTGCGGTAACGTGTGTTAAACACACTTGACGTAACGTTTTAGACTTTTAAAACAGTTGATAATGGTCTCGTCATAATTGAATATTATATCGGAGCAAGAAGTCTTGACACTTGAGTTTAAAATACTTTCAAGCAAATCGTTGGCTTACGTAATTATTGATTTCCACGCTTTAGACTTAGGCTGAATCCTGACTTACACTTCCGTCTAAAGCCATAAATATATTTATTGGTACTAGGAAAATATATAGGGAAAAATTGGGAAAAATTGATCATAAGGGTAGGCCCCTTCCCAGCAAAAAAAAAAGTATATATGTATTAATATCAACGATATAGAAAGTAATCTCATATTTAGTTTCAAAGCTCAAACACTTTTTTTAACCGAAAATTTACGTTAAAATCTATCTAAATTTATCTAAACTGAACAGCAATTGTACGCTGTATGCGATATGCAAAGATGTAAATCCATTGGACAAGAATGAAATATCTCAAATCTAAAAGATGTCTTCTCATCTATGAAATATTTGAATTTTCTTCAACTAAATAGATGCAAATAATTTGTCTATTTCTTTTTGTTTCGTACTTTCTTCCAGTTTCCAATGGATTAAAATAGTGACATCTAGAACAATTACTTTCTATGTCAAATGAACATAGAATTGATTTAGAAGTTACCACAAAATACTTTTTAGTTTGTTTGAAAGATAAAAACCAGATAATGAATTCAAATTGCATGGGTCATCTGTCTGAAAAAGTACGCTTTTTAAGGGTTAATACCACCAAAAACCCTAAATTGGTACATGTGTGACAATTTTACCCCGAACTTTTTTTTTTATCACCAAAAACCTCAAACTGGTACACCTGTTACAATTTTACCCCAAATTTTTTTTTTACCACCAAAAATCCCAAACTAGTACACCTGTAACAATTTTACTCCAAACTGGTAAACCCGTGACAAATTTATTCTAAACTATTTTTTTGACCACGAAAAACCTCAAACTAGTACACCTTTGACAATTTTACCCCGAACTAATAATTTTTTAATATTATTTTTTATTTTTTCGAATTTTTTTATTTTTTCTTTTCTTTTTTTTTTCTTCATCTTCAACCTCTGGCCGGTCGCCGGTCCAGAGGCGGAAGCCGGCGAGGTCGGGCCCGCTGTCGAGGGCCCCCCTCGCCTGACTCAGGTGAGGGCTACCCTCCCCGGATCTGGCGAGGGCGGCCCTCGCCGGCGTCGGGCGAGGGCTATCCTCGCCCGCCCAGGCGAGGTTGGCCCTCGCCCGACTCAGGCGAGGGCTGCCCTTGCCAGCGTCGGGCGAGGGTCGCCCTCGCTCGACGCCGACGAGGGCCGACCTCGCCAAATCCGTCGAGGGCCGCCCTCGCCAGATCCGTCGAGGGCCGCCCTCGCCGGCGTCGAGGGCTGCCCTCGCCGGCGTCGAGCGAGGGCTGTCCTCGCCCGCCCAGGCAAGGGCTGGCCTCGCCCGACGCCGGCGAGGGTAGCCCTCGCCTGACGCAGGCGAGGGTCGCCGCGTATCCGGTCCGGCGAGGCGAGCCTCACCGGCAGCGGCGGGCCGACTCGCCGGCTTCCGCCTTTGGCCGGTCGCCGGTCCGGCCGACCGGCCAAAGGTTGAAGATGAAGAAAAAAAAGAAAAGAAAAAACAAAAAAATTAATAAAAATTCGAAAAAATAAAAAAATAATATTAAAATTTTAGTTTAGTGTAAAATTGTCACATGTGTACCAGTTTGGGGTTTTTTGTGGTATGTTCAGGGTAAAATTGTCATAAGTGTATCCTTACAAAAAAAAATTGTCACAAGTGTACAAGTTTGGAGTTTTTTGGGTATGTTCGGGGTAAAATTGTCACATGTGTACCAGTTTGGGGTTTTTGGTGGTAAAAAAAAAATTTCGGGCTAAAATTGTCACACGTGTACCAGTTTGGGGTTTTTGATGGTATTAACTCTTCTTTTAATATTATACTCTCTTTTATCCTACCTTATATTTATGGGAGCATTTATATTCTCACTCATATGGCAATGTATGTTGCCTAAGTAAATTTTCCATCCTTAAAAGAATATTATTTAAATATGGATGAAGCCGACATTAATTGAATATTTTAGTAGAAATTTTACTTGCAATAAAATAACTTTTAGTTTTTTATACAGTCATAATCAAGATACTTATTTACGTTCATATAAAAAGTTCAAGAACGACCTTTAGGAATTTTCCAATTGAACTTTGTATTTTTTAAAACTCTTTAATGACTAATAGACACTTCGGACGGCGTTTGTTTCACGGAAAATGAATGATTTGGAAAATATTTTCCTAAAAAAAATCACTTTTATAGCTTACCAAAATGAACGAACGAAAAAAAATCTCAATCGTTCATGAAAATATTTAGACATTAATTATTCTCAAGAATGAAGCATTTTTTATTAACTAATTATTTCAAGCAATACAAGCGATTATTTTTAGAAAAATATTTTCCATATTATAATTTTTTCGCAAAACAAACGGAGCCTTTAACAGTGGAACTTTAGTCAAAATTCCCATGTAAATTTTTTTTGACTCCATCACTACCTACTGCCAGGGGAAGTGTTACAGTATTCAAACATTAAATTGCTCCTTCATCAATAACTTAAGACTCCGTTTGTTTAGCGAAAAACA